AAAAAAAAAACAAAGATTAGATAATTGATAATTTAGATATCAAAACCAGATCTTGACACAGAGCTTTGCTCATCACTCATTTGAATTTCAACCACTTACCTACATAATCTTCAACACATTCACCATTTAACACCTGCAATTTCTGAGCTCCTGCCTCAAGAATAGGATCCATAGGTTTAACTTGAATAACCAATTTACTAGCTTGGTCTCCTGGACTTGATATGGTTGTTTCATAGTTCTGCAAATTTTTGTAATGTTTCAGAGTTGAAATTACAGTCTTTTTAATGAAAAGGGATGAAAGTGAAAACTATGGGTCTGTTAAACTACACACCTGAAGAGGGAAAGGAGTCTTGTTTCCATGGAAGAGAGCAATTCTGCCCAAATTTTGCCTGAACTCAGATTTCACTCCAATTTGAACAAGATCATTTTCAAATAGGACTCCATTATTTTTACAAACAAACCTGGAAAATAAAAATAGCACATGAAAGCCATTAAATTTAATTAATAAGGGCTTAAGGATTTTAAATCAAGTAAAGACAGATTAGACTAATTTCTTTTTTAAAGGGACAACACCTACTTCTTGGGATTGTAAGACTGTGCAGCAGCAAAGCTATTATTCTGCTGAGTTTGCTGTTGGCCTCCATACATGTCTCCCAAGACATCCACAAGCATACCAGTGTTACTTGGGGCAGTTGGCTGACTTGAAGGGGGGGTGGAGAGCCCAAGAAGATCGGCAGATGCATTGGCAGAAACTGCTGAAGGTTTTGAGTGAGAAACAGCTTCAGTGTGGTTCCCAGTAGGGGCTGGATTTGGACTACGGCCCTCCCGAATTTCATTTTCTGGCACACGACCAGGCTTTTTCTTTTTTAACACAGCAAGAATTGATGACTCCCGCTCTGGGAATGCAGGCATTTCTTCCAAAACTGTTGCCTGGTTAAAGACCAAAGTAAATTAAAGAGAGTATCCAAAAAACAAGATGGACCAAAAGAATCATGTCAATACATACAAGGACGTCAGTGGAAGCAATGACACTGAGTTGAAGATATTCTGAGGCTCTCTGTTGGAGTTCGGCATCAGCACTACGAAGGTTGCTGTGCTGTTTAAATACCTCTTGAATGTTGTGTTTAATTTCAGGAAACAGATTAACAAATTTTACATAAGTTGAGAGTAAAAGAGCTCGTGTCATTGGAGAGCAAAGATGATACTAGAAATTCAAAAAGACACAAACATTAGGCTAGCTAACAGGAAAATCAAATAAGTGGGGATGATAGAATTGCCAAAGTACCTTGGAATGTAACAATTGAAACTGGACAAGGGGTGAGGAACGTTGATCACCAGCAATTAGGTTACCAAATTCACCCAAGATGTAACCACCTACTTTAACCATGTTTTCATGGCATGCAGGAGCTTGAAGAGCCTGAAAAACATGGAGATGGATGGTAAAACTTGTAAAAATAATTGAACAGAATTGAAGGAGATAAAAAATACAAACTATACCTCAAAAACTGTTTTTGCAGCATATCCCTGAACATCATCCCGATTGATGACAATCTGAATGACTCGATACCACACTTCTTCTGAAACATAGTCTCCAGCTATTCTGATCAAATTAAGAATAACATCTACATACCAAGTGTAATCAGTGGCATACTTTTCAGCAAGGATAGCCACTTTTAAGACCTGTAAGAAAGTAGCAAAAATGTTACATTGGCAAACAATATTGAAAGGTCCTCAGAAGATAGCAATAACATACCATTTCCTCTCTTATAGAATAGTCCGCAGTTTCCAGGTAGTTCAGCATTTCTTGAACAATTTCTTCAGCATTGGTCTTATCACACATGGCATAAAGGAGATCAACGGCTTGCTGACGAACAGAAACATCTTTCTCCATCTGAGAACATAGGAAAGATACTTTTCTTTAGTCATCACCAGCATTTTGAAACCACTCATGATAAAAATTAACAAAGCATGACAGAACCTTCATTGAAAGGATGACAACTTCTTGATGTTTCTTCACAGCCTCATGGGAGAATTCGGAAGTGGCAAGTAAACACATTGATTCCAAAGCAAGATATCTCAAATTTGTTTCACGATTGGACAGGAACTGCCCAAGTTGGTTGCACGCCCGCACAAGAAGATTTGGCTCACTGAAAATTAAAAGACAGTTATAATATACCTCTGATGAATAGTAAACCCAGTTTCATTTGTTGAAAAATTACTTGCCTGTCATTATGAATGATCAAACTTATAGCCTCAAAGAGAACAGCATTTTTGGCATTGGAATGCTGAACTTTCTTTGATTTTGGTGCTTCTTGAGCCTTATTTAGGATAGTTTCAAGGCATTCATTCAGTCTGCCACGAACACCAGGATCATCTAAAACAATTAAAAAATGAGTTTTAAGTTCAATGAAGGAACTTATGCAAGTAATACAATTAAATTACAGCACTTTACCTGGTGGTGAGTAATTTTGCAACAGTCTCAACAGCTTGACAGAAAGCCATGGAGCAGGAACAAAGTAATAAGTGTAATCTTGAAGATCTGTATAACTGGCAGTTACAATCTGAAGAATGGAATAGGTTGGAATCACACTATTAATAGAGAACAGATTTCAACAACTATTTAAAAAACAGGAAATTGGTCCTGATAAACCTACTCGACTAAGTCTAGAAACAGCAAGACTAATGCAGCCTTTGTACTCTTCTGGATTCTTCTTCACAAGGGCATCAATAAGAGAAGTGGCAGCAGTCACCACACCCATATGCTGATCATTCAGTAGATGGATGATGCGCGATGTCCATTCTCCACTAGGTATCATTTCTTGAGAAGTGCGAAATAGTCGCAACAGGCAAAGTGCAGCTGACTGCTTCACAACATCCATAGTGTCCCTGAAAGGAAACGCAAAGTAAGTTGGCAGGGTACAAAAACAATTGGTCTTGTATTTATTACAATTATTGATTACTCACCCAGATACAAGCAGCTTGGGGATATCATAACCAAAGGCTTCTGCCATTTCTTTGCTACCAATGTTAGCAATGCACTGCATAGCTAGGTTCAAATGGATAGGGTTGCGAGATTGCAGATCATTTTTGATGCTTTGAATAATTAGTTTGATTAAATCACTATTGGTGTTGACCAACACCGATATAAACAAATAACCCTAAAAATAAAGACTTGTACAGAAACCTCGCACATAAAAGCTCAGTTACAGAAATACAGTGAATTCAATGAAAAAATATTAATTAAAAAGAGAAAATAAGTATAAAGGTAACACTCGGGATTATGATGATTCTGCAGTACAGGTTGTTTAAAATTCACCACAACTTTAACAATAACAACATACAGACACAAAATTCATACAGTATGAATGTGTGTATTTATGAACTAATGAGTAATATCATACATGTGAAAATCATTCACCTTGGAGCTAAATGGATCCAATTTCAAGATCAGTGTTGTTTACCTTGCTGTAAATGATGTGCCAGCCTGTACAACCACAAAACTTGAAGTTTATGACTAAGCAAAATTAGAAATTTTGTAGATAAACTGGCACAAATGAAACAATGACAACATACTAATCTTAACTTTTGTTTTGAATGATCTGTGTGAAGACTATTTAAAGTGAAACACAACATTGAATCAATTCACTAAAACTGGTCTGCTAACAAGTCACATATTTCTTGGGAAACTGTTTCCTTGCTCGACCGTACTGTAAGACGATACATCTGAAACAAACAAAAGAGTCAGCAAGACTCTGGCAGTGGAAAAAAAGGTAACTTTAAATTCAAATAATGTTTTACCTGAGCCTGCTTGTTAGGTTCAAGACGTAAAAGGCAACCAATTTGAGACGATCTTGCGTGAATAATTCCAGCACAGACAAAATTGTCTGGATTAGGGTCTATTCCATCCAGCAACTGCATGCCGAAGCCCATCACTTTGGTTCTGGCAGCTGCCAAATCCATGGGTGGTGAAGCTTTGAATATCTTCTGAGCGCGCTGCTTCTCACTGTCAAAAGTAAGTTAGTGTAAAAATGAATTCAAAAAAAGAGGGAAAAAAGGAGTTAAAAGACAAGGTTTTACCCTCCAAGATTTTTCCACCGAGCAAAGAATGATTCTCCATTCATTTCTGTAGGCTCAAAGAACTTGTTTATAGTAAGAGGAAGCTTCACATTGATCTTCTGAGGAACATTATTGTAAATGAAAGATATGTTCATACTAGGAGAATCTAAGAAAAAAA